GAAGTATACTGATATTCAAAATTGATCAAGTAACCTAGGTCTCTTTTTTTAGATAAGTCTTTAAGGATGAAAAGTCAATGGGTTAAAATATATATGGTTTTCAAATTCTTGACTTACAGGTTTGCATGACCTTGAATATCAGAATATATCAAATGTAATCGGTGCTCGATGGCACGGATTTTCAGATACGGGGTCCGGGATAATGCTTTATTACTGGTGCGTTGGTAACACTTCTAGTTTCCATACGTCATCAGCAAATACGGAATGCAACGTTCGCCAATGGGAAAATGTTGGTATTCATACATCCGTATCTAGAAAATTGAAAAATGAACTCCTACAAGGTTGGTTAATAAGTATTTAATAAATATCTGATATTACATGTAGTTGCATGTAGTGTTGAACATTATTAAATATACATAGGCTTTCTAATTCCAATTAAATCATATAAATTCATTATTTTCAATGTAATGTAGATGTGTTATACGGTTTCTTTTGGAGTTTTGATATGAATGTTGAATCAATCATTTCAGGTGCGACTTACTATAGCAAAGTATACGCAGTGGATACCGTTGGATATGAATCTGAAATCGTTGTTTCTGATGGTGTAAAAATTGACACAACCCCACCGAAACCTCGGTACCTTTATCATACAGAAGAAAATCTACTGCAAAACCCTTCGTTTGAGTCCTCGAAGAAGTTTTTGTCGGTTGAAAATATAAATGTCAGTATCCTGTGTTCGTTAAATCTGGACTTTCAGCCTGATCATTGGCATGCAACTCATGGAAGTTGTGCTTCTGTAGTGAAGTCACAGAAAAATTTAGCCAGAGATGGCAAAGCTTTTCTATTTTTGAGGGGAAGTTTAAAACAAAAAGTCCAAAATTTGAAAGTTGGGGAATTGTATCAAGTCGTTTTCTTCACAAGCCATTTGTCACTGAAAACAGCTTTGGTTTCCAATAAAGAAGGTTTTGTTTACATCGGTAAACAGAAACATGTCTTTATGTTATACACAAAGCCATACAGGCACGATGGACATGGTGAATCTATTTCTCGCGAGACTTTGTCATGGCATAGACATACTTTTTACTTTATAGCTTCAGATATTTCAGCTTATTTAGAAATCGGAAGTACAGATGCCAAGACAGGTCTCTTTGTAGATCACCTGACATTTCAGCGCGTAGAAAGAGACGAAAAAGAAGGTAATGAATCGCATGTGTCTGCTCACATCTTTTATATACACCAGTGGGGTTCTATACACGCGGAATGGAGCTTTATTGAAGATTCAAGTCCTATCACAGAGTACAAATGGGCAATAGGTAAAAAAAAATCCACAAAGATAAACTTTTATGAGCTTTCCTCTTAGGTATATAATATAATTATGATAACTCTCTAGCCAGTAGGTGTGTGTGGTATTCACATCGCATATAATGTAAAGAAAGTGTCTGTTTCATTATTAGGGTATACGAAAGGTGGAATACAGCTTCAAAGCTTCAAAAGTACTGGACTGAACACCTTTGGAATCAACACGAATGTGACTTTGATCCATAACACAATCATACATATAACAGCGGTGGCCTCCAATATGGCTGGGCTTGATGGGCTATCCTACTCCGCACCAGTTCTTGTCGACCTTACCCCTCCAGAGATTGTCCATGTATACGATGGCCGATTAACAAGTAGGACAATTTGAAAATTATATTTTTTTAAATGGAATATGGGTACAGGACCGTCAAATTTGCGAATTAATTCTAGATTTTGCATGTTTTGTAATAATCAAATATGGTTAATTTCAATTTTGTTTAGTTTAAAATCCCTATATGGTTCGTTAATATTCATTGAAAAACGTTTTAATCTAATAAGGCGAGGATAAAGACGCATGGATAGACAACGAAGTAGCTGTCAACTTTGTGGCATTGGACAATGAGTCAGGAATAGAATTCTGCGAATGGGGTATAGGTGTGTTTTAAACAATAATCTATATAAGATGCAAAAATTTTTATAACTGTTATTTCTAGGTTTAGTATTTAACATTGTTCTACCAATAATCAATCTTGCATGTATGAGATGTAAAACTTCTAATAACTTTTCTAACAGGTTACCAACCTCAGGGAATCGATTTGCAGACATTTGAGAAAGTACCAGTTTCAGAAATTGTTCTATTTAAGGATTTTGACTATAATCTTTTGGCAAATCGAACTGTGTATTCTACAGTAAGGTGTCAAAATCGTGCAGGCTTAATAACTTCCAAATCCTCTGATGGAGTGACAATTTCCACCCTAACCCCATCAGTAGCTCATTCTGAGGTTGTGGTTTTGCCTATGTCTGTCACGGAGTACCAAGCTAACGTTCATTATCAAAGTGTCAAAGACAGTGTTAGAATAAAATGGTCTGGATTTACAGATTCCGTTGGAATTGATCAATATAAGGTCAGCTTTTATTCATTTGAAATTAATAACAAGTATCTTCTACCCAGTGCCTATCATTTTTAGGTCAACTGAGTCACTTAGGTGACCTATTGCTATCCGTTCTCGTCCGTCGGCGTGCGTCGTGCGTTAACATTTGAACATTTTTAGCTTCTTCTCTAAAACCGCTTAACCAATTTCAACCAAATTTGGCATACAGCATTTATGGGTGAAGGGGAACAAAAATTTTGAATTTCATGGTCCCTGCCCCCCTGGGGCCTGAAGGGTGGGGCTAAAACCACCAAAAATAATGCAATCTTTAAAAATCTTCTTCTTTACTCCTGGACATCAAGCAGTCAAACTGTTGGCATTATTGTAATAAGCATTGAGCCCTCTACCAGAATTGTGAAATTCATGGCCTCAGGGTCAGGGGTTCTGGCCCCAGGGTGGGGCTATATAGATCATTGTTGAAAGTGCATTATTTCTTTGAAAATTTTCTTCTTTGCTCCTGGGTATTAAATAAAGTAACTAAGTACATATGTATGAAGAGCAAGAGTGCCTCTTCCAAAATTGTGAAATTCATGGCCCCAGGGTCAGGGGTTCTGATGTAAGGGCGGGGCTAGTGAAAAAGCATTAATTTTATAAATTAATCATTAATTAATCCTGTCTGCTCCTTAGTGTTGAGCTGATAAATAAATTGCTTAGCTATGATGAAAATGGGAGCTTCGAACAGAATTTTTAAATCTTGTGGTCCTAGGGTCAGGGGTTCTGGCATAACGAGGGGGGGGGGGTGATAATATAGTGGAAAAGTGTTAATTCTTTGAAGTCCATAGTTATGATGATGCGGGTAACTCTTCCAAATTTGTAAATTTCTTGACCCTTGGTCTTGGGTTCTGGTGTTAGGGTAAGGTTTTGTTGAATCTGTAGTGAAAATGCATTGTACCTGTGAAATTCTACTCTGCTTCTGGGCATATCGGAAGCAAACTGAGTAATAGCTTAAATGATATAAGTAAGCTTATTTCTACCAGATTTTTGAACATCTGGACCATTTGTCTAAGCATTCTGGTCCTGGGCAGGGCTCTATTAATTTGTATTCTACTGAGAGAAGTTATTCCCCTTTTCCATTCACCTTTGATAATTAATCACTGTAAATAATGTATTTGAAAGGTTAATAGAATAAGATAATTATGCAAGAATGTTTATCGTATAATTCAAAAAGTACTTTCTTAGTTTTAATAATCAGGTAGACCTGTAAGTAATAGATAAATAAAAATGAGACAAAAATAACTTATCTTATTAAAAGTTCTTCAAAGACCATAAGAGAAGTCAATGCTAGAGGTCTTAATTTGAGTTTAAAAATAGTACAGAAGCACTAATAGTTTGTTAATAGTCTGTATGGTGATAATGTTAAGTGGGGGACAGATTAGAACTTAATTTATGAGTTGATACTGAATACTAGACTAATTATTTTGTTGATCCTGATCTTCCTACTTCTCTTGCTTTAGGGCAACAAAGCTTCATCTATCAGTGTATTTCACTTCTAAATTGTTGTATTATACTCAGGGGACCGATAAGGCCCTTGGGCCTCTTGTTTTTATTTCCTTTTCTTTCTTTTTTTGTAGATCATATTTTCTGATCAAAATTTGAAATTGATTGAAAGGATGTCATTTCCGATTGGCCAAGACCTTCAGAGTGCAGTGATAATGAACTTAGCTATGGACCAGGGACTTAAAAATATTTCAATACAAGCCATCAATAAACTTCTTCTTGCCAGCAGCAGAGTACCACACAACATTACAGTACTCTATGACAAACCACGAAAGTCTGGTATGCAAAGAACATATCATTATATTGTTGATAAATTTATATGCAATATAGTGCTTTAGTATTTTTGATAATGAATAACTTGCCTTTTATAGTTAACTACAAACTCTTTTAAAGGAAATCAACTTTTAGTGTCCTGGCACGCAGGAAACAAAGAATTTTCTGTCACTTGGAACAACGTGTTTAATTCTGAACACCCTCTTTATTACGAAGTTTGCGCTGGAACTGTTGAGAGCGGAAGTAACGTACTTCAGTGGCAGGAGACCACAAAGACAAGCATCAAATTTGGCTTACCGCCAACAATCACCAGCTGGTCAAGTCTGTCTGTTCATCTGTACGTGCGGGCTATCAATGTGGCGGGAATTTATGAAGATATTAAAGGAGAAATAATACTTCCGGAATGATTATGTTCTGCAACAATGCAAATACTAACCTTCTTTACATGTTTGTAACATAGTTTCAAGAGTGACGCTTGCGATTATTAACCATTTTCCAAGTCTTTTTTTTTTTTTTTTTGAATTTACAGTCATGTTCAAATACACCTGTCATAATATATCAGCGAAAAAGAAAAATATAATAATTAGACGTATATAGTAAAACACGCTTAAAACGAGGTGCCAGGGACGGACGATTTTGCTTCATTAAAAGAGTAATTCATTTTATCACATATTTACCCCTTTATACAGTGGATATAGCTCATTGCATATCGTTTTCATATCCATACTATGTATTCCTACGCCGCGTGACGTAATGTAAATAAACAAATCCATGTGCATGATGGAAAGAAGAATTCCAAATAATTCAATTGTAAATATTGATGGAGGTGGTTCAGGTTTGGTGAAATCTTCTAAATTTGAAAATGATGAAATTATTTATGAAGTCGAAATTGAGGGTACAGGTCTGACATTGCCATTTCCAAGTTATCGTCTCAAAACAGTGAATCCTGTCTTGCAGCAGACGACGTCTGGATCGCGATTTGAATTAATAGACGAAAATGATATTGATAAATATATCAATGATCAAGAAAACAAAAACACATGGAAAAAAACTTCTGCTGACATGAATTTGCTAAAATCGTTTCTTGAAACTCAAAATGAAAACAGACCCATAGAAACAATCCCTCCCTCTGAATTGAATAACATTTTGTGTAAATTTATTTTGAGTGTCCGGAAGCCTGATGGCTCAAATTATGAACCAAACACATTGCGATCTTTTATGAGCAGCTTTGATAGATATTTACGTAAAATGAAGTATGAATGTCAGATTGTTTCAAGCATAGAATTTGTTAAAGCGCGCGAAGTTCTCAAGGCAAAACAGCGAAGTCTTAAAGGCGAGGGTAAAGGAAATCTATCTAAAAAAGCAGACCCATTAACTGACATCGAAATAAATAAACTGTGGGAATGTGGTCTGTTAGGGGCACAAACTCCTGAGAGTATATTAAACTCACTTTGGCTATTCAACACGATTTATTTTGGACTGAGGGGTTCAGATGAACACAGATCCATGTCGTGGGGTGACATTTGTTTGCAAACTGATATTACTGGCGTAGAATACTTAACATTTAATGAACGCCAATCAAAAACCAGACAAGGAGTAAACCCAAGGGATGTTCGAGTAGTCAAACCCAAAATGTGGGCAAATACTGACGCGCCGGATCGATGTCCTGTTGCTATATACAAAAAATATTCAGAAAAAAGACCCGATGATTTTTCAAAACCCGATAATCCATTTTATTTAGCTACACATACCCAGCAACACGCAATGTCCATAAAAGAACAATGGTTTAAAAGACAGCCAGTCGGCGTCAATAAATTGTCATCTTTAATGAAAGGAATGGCCAATGCAGCAGGTATTGGTGGAGACAAAAAACTCACCAACCACAGCGCTAGAAAACATTTAGTGCAAAAATTAAGCGAAAACAACATACCTCCAAATCAAATCATGCAGATAACTGGCCATAAAAACATCCAATCCATAAACAATTACAGCAGCATCAATGAAAATCAACACAAAAGTATTTCTGGCATCCTTTCGAACTCAGCACCTCCTGTAAACAACCCTGGATCCGCCACATTCAATTGGACACAAAACAATTCTATCACAAATACAGCTGTACGGAATACAACTACATCAAACACTGGCACTTCCATGATTGTTAATGTCTCAGGGGGCATTCAAAACTTCTTGAATGGAGATGTTCACGGCGGAAAAATTATTGTAAACATCCATGAATGTTCAAACAAAACACCACGGAAAAGGCCGCGTGTCATCTATGACACGGACTCGGATGACTAAAGTCAATAATAATTGTAAATGACTTGATTTGTCAAATCTAACATTATTTCATATTTTTGAACGAATTTTCATTCATGAATAAAAATATAACTGCTAAAATACATTCTTTCTTTTATTTTTTTACGAACTATTTCTAACAGCGTAATATTATTTACGTATGTTATTTGGTCCGAGGTAACCGAGAGGGAACTTTGAATTAGAAAATAAAGACAAGAAACGCTTTGATCATGTGGATAGTTGAACAAAAATAGGTGATAAAAAGAATCTCCCAAGGCTCGGGGATAGAAAACACACAACTCGTTGGATAAAAATCATATCCAACCACAAACCATGGGAGATCCTATATATATTCGTGAAGTATCTAATAATGTTTTAAAGTCAAAGGGGAACGAAAATCACTTCGCTATAGGCGTCAATTCATTAAAAGCATGTGCATGTGCGCTGTAAGCGTATTTTACTGTATTTTTGTTGATGTAAAACATTAATTTGACTGCAAAGTGAATTTTAGTTTCTTATTTTTATATACAATTTATTTTGTAGACTTAAAACTTTTCCTAGCTTGTTCCATTGATTCACAAATGTTAAGTATATGGATTCTCATATCAATTAATTTCTGTCCAGAAAATATTCAAATATCAATTTACAATTGTTCAAATTTATTGATTAATTAATCACTATTTTGATCGATTAGACCACTGGACCTCATTGCCTCTGTGGTCACGTAATTACCACTTGTCAAGTGAATATAAGAACTTAAACATTAACATTATTCGATAATGGTATCAATGGTTTTGTTTTTGTATGTTGTTTAACGTCCCTCTCGAGAATTTTTCACTCATATGGAGACGCCACCACTTGCCGGTGGAGAGCTGCAAATTTTGTCCTATACTCGGCACTTACGGCCATTGAGCAGTGAGGGATCTTTTTCGTGCCAACACCTACTGCGACACGGGACCTCGGTTTATACGGTCTCATCCGAAGGACCGGTCTCCACATCCCACAGTGGGATTCGAACCCGCGACGTAAGGATCAACTTACTTCGCAACTCTAGAGCAGACGCTCTAACCACTGCGCCACGCGGGCGACTGGTATCAATGGTATTCATGATGATAATGGTATTCAATCACTTGATTAATCCGTGTTTCCGGTAAAAGACTAAGTACAATCTTGGAAATTGATTTATAGGTCATCAATTTAAAATGGTGTTTTGATGTTGACGACTTCCGATTGTTAAAGATTTTATAGTGCTAGTGACAATACTTTTTGATCAAGCCTCACATTATTGAATCATGCCTTTAAAATAATATTGAAAATAACACAATGATTTTCATCATTTGTTTATAATTGATTAATATTCAAATGCAAACAAATGACGAAAAGTTCATATTGTTTATATGTTATACTAATTTGAAATTTTGACTCGTCTGTTCTCAGTTTATGGTCTTGAGACCTGAAATATCAAGACTTGGGTTAGTGGTAGTTTATTTTGAAACGTGTAGGTTACATCTTGTAGATAATCTTATACTAAATGTTATTTAATTTATTAAATATTGTTTATATAAAATCTTGTAGATTATATCATATTTCAACATGCTTGTTATCACGTGATTCTATAAGCCAATCAGATTCTTAGCATCTTGTCTAGTTCCTGCAACTGTAGAGTTACATCTCAAAGATTTTCTCTAGATTCCTTTGGAATATTTTCGTCTCCTAGCCAACTTGGATTTTTGTAGCGTATTCATAATATGTGGACTATTTACAAGTGGTAAATGCATATACAGTATGTGACTACCGACCCAGGATACACGTGTGTTTGTTTCGTTTCAATGTTTACATGTTATGGCCGAATGACTTGAACTTTAGCCCGAGGCTCTTATTATTGTGATTATAGAAAATAAAAATGACGGGAAGGAAAAGAAAGACAAGTGAGATTCCAGGTTGGAATGTGCGTACTCGCAGTGAAAATCAAAGCACATCTAGATGGGACACTAATATACCCGAAAATTGGTCGTCATCAGACTTAATACAAAAACTGAAAGACTCAAATATAGTAGTGCCAGCTACTTTAAAGAAATCTCAATTACTTCAAATTTATAAAGACAATGTACAAAACAGTCGTAAAGAGCTTAGCAGTTCTCTGTCAGACGAAAGAACAATTGACATTAGTGAGAATCAAAATGGCGATGAAGTTCATGAACTTCCGGCATCTTCGGAGAGAGCAATTCATAACGAGGCTGGGCGGAAGTCAACAAATGAAACCAAAATAGACTCGCTGAGCCAAGCAATTGATACAATACAACAATCTCTTCTGTCACTTACAAATGTTGTCAGCAAGTTACAACAGCAAAATCCCAACCAGAGTACACCGACATCGGAACCGGACCGTGTTAATTTACCATCGGGCTCTCGTGTTCCATCGGATTCGGTCCCGTATGTCGAGACTGTGTCCACAAACCTCAGGAACAACATTATACAAGGTAAGGATGTCAATCTTGCCGCTTTACTTCTGCCTCGTGAAAATGAGGAACACAAAATTCAAGATACGGAAGGCCGTTATATCTTACTGAAACAAAATACTGATGCCAGATTACAAAGAAACTTAACCATAAGCGAGTTTATACTGGCATTCTCAAAATTCAAAAACATCATTTGTGAAATATATCCGGAAAGAAGGATAGAATTGGATGCATATGAACGTGATATCGTGGAGATGGCGTCCATGACACGTGGTTCTGCATTTTACGAATATCACAAGGCCTTTTCAGCGAGAGCCAGTGCCCTTCTTCATCAAAGAAATATCAGAGTTGACTGGTCAATTAGGGACACGAAACTGTTTACCACTATTTTTGCTGGCCAGACGGTAATAAGATGTGAGAATTGCAACAGTACTACACACACTTCACATTTCTGCCCAAGAGCAAAATTCAGTGCAGTTTCAAATAGTTCACTTCCAGGACAAAACAGGAACAGAGGACAACAAAACCAACTGGATGTGCAAGGAAGGCCCAGAATCACGCATAGGGGCAGAGAAATCTGTAACAATTTTAACAGCGAGACCGGATGCAACAGACCCTCGTGTAACTTGGTACATATATGTTCAACTTGTAAGATGGGAAAACATACTTCCACGCAATGTAAAACAACCACGAAACAAAAGGAGGGCAACCAAAGTGAGAAGCAATGACTACCTGATTTTACCTTACAGTCAGATTCCGAAAAACAAGAAATTTTAACTACGATCAACATCGAAGCATTTAAGTCAGAATTGCACCATCATCCAGACAAAAACTTTGTAGATACTTTCATTAATGGATTGGAGAATGGATTTGATACAGGAATTTCTAAGCTGCCATTGACTTCATTTGAATGCAAAAATTTAAGTACAGCTAGGAAGAAACCTGAAGTAGTAGACACTTTACTCAAGTATGAAATTGACAAAGGTTATGTAGATGGACCATATGACGAACCACCGTTTGAAGTCTATCGTATTAGCCCTATTGGTGTTGCCGAAGGAAAATACTCAAAGAAATACAGATTGATTGTAGACCTCTCTTCCCCTCATGACTCGGTATCCGAAGTTAGCATCAATAGCCTCATCGATAAGGAAGATTACTCGTTACAGTATGTGCGTATTGATGATGCCATAAGTATTTTGAAATCATTAGGTGTTAATTCATTGATGTGCAAGACTGACATTGTGGACGCATTCAAGCTATTACCTTTGTCAAAAACAGTGCAACCTTTTTATGGCGTAAAATGGAGAAACAAATATTACTTTTATAAACGCTTAGTGTTTGGGTGCAGAAGTAGCCCCAAAATATTTGATATGCTTTCACAGGCTGTCTGCTGGATTTTAACCAATAATTACAAAATCAAGCAGGTGTTACATTTGTTAGATGATTTCTTGACATTGGATCCTACAGAGGAAGAAGGATTCAGAAGTATGGCAATACTAACAATGGTGTTTGGCAATTTAGGAATTCCCATTTCGGAGAAGAAAACAAAAGGGCCTTGTACAGAAATGGAATACTTGGGAATTATATTGGACTCTGTTAAAATGGAAGCACGAATCCCACCAGAAAAAATAGAGCGCATATTTTTTCTCATTGGCAATTTAAAGTCAAAACGTTCCTGCACAAAAAGAGAACTACTCAGCATATTAGGGCATTTCAATTTCGCAGCACGAATTATTCCAGCAGGCAGATCATTTATTTCATATCTTTTAACTCTGGCCCATTCAGTTACTAAATTACATCATCACGTAAATTTAACTAAAGAATGCAGAATGGACTTGGCTATGTGGGAAACATTTCTAAAGCAGTGGAATGGACATTCGTTCTTTCTGGAGGAAAATGTGACTTGTGCCTCAGACATATCCTTGTATACAGATGCTTCTTCTACCATTGGTTACGGGGGTTACTATTACGGAGAATGGTTCCAAGGAAAATGGCCTCCAGAAATTCAAGACCTCGGCGATGACACATTATCTATGGCATTGTTAGAATTGTATCCCATAGTTGTTGCCGCTGTGATATGGGGGCATAAATGATGACAAAATTCAGAGAAGTAGCTCCAGCAGCAGCAGCAATGCCAGTACCAGTACCATCCTTGAAAGAATTAATCCTGTATTAGAGAAAGAGTCTAGGGACTTATGCGAATCTTCAATCAGCGACAATACAAGGAGGGCATACAGAACAGGATTTACAGTATATTGCCAGTTCCTTTCATCGATTGGAATAGAAGCGCCTAATTATAATCCACCAAAGATCTCAGAACAAACCCTTATTTACTTTGTTACACATTGCTGCAATTCCCTAAAACTAACGTACAATACCATCAAATTGTATCTTGCAGCTGTGAGATTCCATTATGTGAAGGCTGGTATTTCTAATCCTCTATCATCAGATGAATTGTGTGCAAGGTTGCAAACAGTGTTGAGGGGAATTCAAAAACAACAAAGTTCTAAACAGAAAAGGAGGCCCATTACATACAGTGTTTTGATCCAAATTCAAAATGTCTTACAGCGGG